ACCTATGACGATATAGGCGAAATAGGCTTTTTTCAGCAATGGATTACATAATTTTAAAATTTTGTACCATCGACTCAAATTGTATTGTGTAGAGTGTATGAATCTTTTTATATCAATCAATAAAATCTCGCCCTCTTGGGCGGAAGACATGTGAGTAATGTTTGAAAAGTGCATAAATTTACGATTTTTCACCTATGACGATATAGGCGAAATAGGCTTTTTTCAGCAATGGATTACACATAATTTTAAAATTTTGTACCCATCGACTCAAATTGTATTGTGTAGAGTGTATGAATCTTTTTTATATCAATCAATAAAATCTCGCCCCTCTTGGGCGGAAAGACATGTGAGTAATGTTTGAAAAGTGCATAAATTTACGATTTTTCACCTATGACGATATAGGCGAAATAGGCTTTTTTCAGCAATGGATTACACATAATTTTAAAATTTTGTACCCATCGACTCAAATTGTATTGTGTAGAGTGTATGAATCTTTTTATATCAATCAATAAAATCTCGCCCCTCTTGGGCGGAAAGACATGTGAGTAATGTTTGAAAAGTGCATAAATTTACGATTTTTCACCTATGACGATATAGGCGAAATAGGCTTTTTTCAGCAATGGATTACACATAATTTTAAAATTTTGTACCCATCGACTCAAATTGTATTGTGTAGAGTGTATGAATCTTTTTTATATCAATCAATAAAATCTCGCCCCTCTTGGGCGGAAAGACATGTGAGTAATGTTTGAAAAGTGCATAAATTTACGATTTTTCACCTATGACGATATAGGCGAAATAGGCTTTTTTCAGCAATGGATTACACATAATTTTAAAATTTTGTACCCATCGACTCAAATTGTATTGTGTAGAGTGTATGAATTTTTTATATCAATCAATAAAATCTCGCCCCTCTTGGGCGGAAAGACATGTGAGTAATGTTTGAAAAGTGCATAAATTTACGATTTTTCACCTATGACGATATAGGCGAAATAGGCTTTTTTCAGCAATGGATTACACATAATTTTAAAATTTTGTACCCATCGACTCAAATTGTATTGTGTAGAGTGTATGAATCTTTTTTATATCAATCAATAAAATCTCGCCCCTCTTGGGCGGAAAGACATGTGAGTAATGTTTGAAAAGTGCATAAATTTACGATTTTTCACCTATGACGATATAGGCGAAATAGGCTTTTTTCAGCAATGGATTACACATAATTTTAAAATTTTGTACCCATCGACTCAAATTGTATTGTGTAGAGTGTATGAATCTTTTTTATATCAATCAATAAAATCTCGCCCCTCTTGGGCGGAAAGACATGTGAGTAATGTTTGAAAAGTGCATAAATTTACGATTTTTCACCTATGACGATATAGGCGAAATAGGCTTTTTTCAGCAATGGATTACACATAATTTTAAAATTTTGTACCCATCGACTCAAATTGTATTGTGTAGAGTGTATGAATCTTTTTTATATCAATCAATAAAATCTCGCCCCTCTTGGGCGGAAAGACATGTGAGTAATGTTTGAAAAGTGCATAAATTTACGATTTTTCACCTATGACGATATAGGCGAAATAGGCTTTTTTCAGCAATGGATTACACATAATTTTAAAATTTTGTACCCATCGACTCAAATTGTATTGTGTAGAGTGTATGAATCTTTTTTATATCAATCAATAAAATCTCGCCCCTCTTGGGCGGAAAGACATGTGAGTAATGTTTGAAAAGTGCATAAATTTACGATTTTTCACCTATGACGATATAGGCGAAATAGGCTTTTTTCAGCAATGGATTACACATAATTTTAAAATTTTGTACCCATCGACTCAAATTGTATTGTGTAGAGTGTATGAATCTTTTTTATATCAATCAATAAAATCTCGCCCCTCTTGGGCGGAAAGACATGTGAGTAATGTTTGAAAAGTGCATAAATTTACGATTTTTCACCTATGACGATATAGGCGAAATAGGCTTTTTTCAGCAATGGATTACACATAATTTTAAAATTTTGTACCCATCGACTCAAATTGTATTGTGTAGAGTGTATGAATCTTTTTTATATCAATCAATAAAATCTCGCCCCTCTTGGGCGGAAAGACATGTGAGTAATGTTTGAAAAGTGCATAAATTTACGATTTTTCACCTATGACGATATAGGCGAAATAGGCTTTTTTCAGCAATGGATTACACATAATTTTAAAATTTTGTACCCATCGACTCAAATTGTATTGTGTAGAGTGTATGAATTTTTTATATCAATCAATAAAATCTCGCCCCTCTTGGGCGGAAAGACATGTGAGTAATGTTTGAAAAGTGCATAAATTTACGATTTTTCACCTATGACGATATAGGCGAAATAGGCTTTTTTCAGCAATGGATTACACATAATTTTAAAATTTTGTACCCATCGACTCAAATTGTATTGTGTAGAGTGTATGAATCTTTTTTATATCAATCAATAAAATCTCGCCCCTCTTGGGCGGAAAGACATGTGAGTAATGTTTGAAAAGTGCATAAATTTACGATTTTTCACCTATGACGATATAGGCGAAATAGGCTTTTTTCAGCAATGGATTACACATAATTTTAAAATTTTGTACCCATCGACTCAAATTGTATTGTGTAGAGTGTATGAATCTTTTTTATATCAATCAATAAAATCTCGCCCCTCTTGGGCGGAAAGACATGTGAGTAATGTTTGAAAAGTGCATAAATTTACGATTTTTCACCTATGACGATATAGGCGAAATAGGCTTTTTTCAGCAATGGATTACACATAATTTTAAAATTTTGTACCCATCGACTCAAATTGTATTGTGTAGAGTGTATGAATCTTTTTTATATCAATCAATAAAATCTCGCCCCTCTTGGGCGGAAAGACATGTGAGTAATGTTTGAAAAGTGCATAAATTTACGATTTTTCACCTATGACGATATAGGCGAAATAGGCTTTTTTCAGCAATGGATTACACATAATTTTAAAATTTTGTACCCATCGACTCAAAATTGTATTGTGTAGAGTGTATGAATCTTTTTATATCAATCAATAAAATCTCGCCCCTCTTGGGCGGAAAGACATGTGAGTAATGTTTGAAAAGTGCATAAATTTACGATTTTTCACCTATGACGATATAGGCGAAATAGGCTTTTTTCAGCAATGGATTACACATAATTTTAAAATTTTGTACCCATCGACTCAAATTGTATTGTGTAGAGTGTATGAATCTTTTTTTATATCAATCAATAAAATCTCGCCCCTCTTGGGCGGAAAGACATGTGAGTAATGTTTGAAAAGTGCATAAATTTACGATTTTTCACCATGACGATATAGGCGAAAAGGCTTTTTTCAGCAATGGATTACACATAATTTTAAAATTTTGTACCCATCGACTCAAATTGTATTGTGTAGAGTGTATGAATCTTTTTTATAATCAATCAATTAAAATCTCGCCCCTCTTGGGCGGGAAAGACATGTGAGTAAATGTTTGAAAGTGCATAAATTTACGATTTTTCACCTATGGACGATATAAGGCGAAATAGGCTTTTTTCAGCAATGGATTACACATAATTTTAAAATTTTTGTACCCATCGACTCAAATTGTATTGTGTAGAGTGTATGAATCTTTTTTATATCAATCAATAAAATCTCGCCCCCTCTTGGGCGGAAAGACATGTGGAGTAATGTTTGAAAAGTGCATAAATTTACGATTTTTCACCTATGACGATATAGGCGAAATAGGCTTTTTTCAGCAATGGATTACACATATTTTAAAATTTGTACCCATCGACTTAAATTGTATTGTGCAGAGTGTATGAATCTTTTTTATATCAATCAATAAAATCTCGCCCCTCTTGGGCGGAAAGACATGTGAGTAATGTTTGAAAGTGCATAAATTTACGATTTTTCACCTATGACGATATAGGCGAAATAGGCTTTTTTCAGCACATGGAATTACACATAATTTTAAAATTTTGTACCCATCGACTCAAATTGTATTGTGTAGAGTGTATGAATCTTCTTTATATCAATCAATAAAATCTCGCCCCTCTTGGGCGGAAAGACATGTGAGTAATGTTTGAAAAGTGCATAAATTTACGATTTTTCACCTATGACGATATAGGCAACAATAGGCTTTTTCAGCAATGGATTTACACATAATTTTAAAATTTTGTACCAATCGACTCAAATTGTATTGTGTAGAGTGTATGAATCTTTTTTAGTATCAATCAATAAAATCTCGCCCCTCTTGGGCGGAAAGACATGTGACTAATGTTTGAAAAGTGTATGTTTTACGATATTTACTTTTAAAGTAATTACTCGTGCTGCATTTATTTTGTTTAAAACTCATATTTATAAGCTGTTGTTTGATGATTCGCATTTTACATTTTTCTGGCACGCACTTATTGTTCCAATTTACAGAAATAACGTATATAACTTTATTTTTGTATTTTTATATTCATTCGCTTCCTAATTGCGTATGGAAATTTAGTCCCGCCTCCGATTCTGATATGATATTTGAACTTTTCGCTTGGTTGCACACAAAGGTCACCGTGAGAGTCACTTCACAGTGGTATATTTTAGTGATTTAAGATTATATAATGGGTTTACTGAAAAGTTTTTGGATGGATTTCACACAAACCATGAAAGCGAAGGAGAATATAACTATGATACATTTCTGCTGTGTTGGTTATTTCTATCTTCTGGCTTTCTCTGCATTGTATTGTTGCCTTTTTATTGCGTTTCCGATTATCTACCGACACGACGACGATTATAATTGGAACTTGTTCGCTTTCTTCTTTTTGTTTATCAACATGATCGGGAATCAAATACTTGGAACAGTTTATAATTCTACATACACAGATGGTATAATTATATTTGATGATCTTTATTTTTTGCGAGTCTTTTAATGCTGTAATGTTTGAATGTGGTACAATTCAGAAATAAATCATTATCTCTCATTATCAATATTTCTTCACAGTATAACCGTCCGTACATACCGTGATTCCCCCAAAATAAGACCCATCCCATATTTAAGAATAATTTTAATACAAGCTCTCCCATTGACGTTACGCTTCGGTGCTCCCTACTGCAGTACGGCACACTATCCCGAATCCGGATTTGCGTCTACATTCCGGAAGAGCCAAAATATGAATAGGCGTCTGTGAAACCGGGGGCGTCGAGTCGTCTGCGAGCTCGATGCGTGAGAACGTCAGATGTCTGGATATGACGTCAAAGAAAGTCACGCACAGATCGGCAGTTCGGCACGGCTCTCGAATTTTGCTAATTTGATTTTCGTTTTTTACCGATGTATACTGACCTATATGGTTAGATATACGATGTATTTCTGAATCATTATATTCAGTCTACTGTTGGTAGTGCCTAATTGAAATAATGTTGCGTAAATGCAAACGTCTGTGAATAAAATAATTACTTTTAAATAATATCAAGAGATTACAAAATTATGCGTTTCGATTAATACGTCTACGAGTCCAACTAATTTTATTATAGGTGTTTGTGACTACATGACATCGTTTGAATTGTCGTATAACGAAGTCAAAACGATGCACGATATCGAAGTTTTTTTTTCAATAGTTAAATTAATATCGATAGTGAAACTTTGTAATGCCCGTTAATACCCTGTAATTACAGCAATTTAACATAGCATCTTCGGTTTATTTAGAACTGAAACTTCCAGAACGCACAACGATTACGAATTACGATATCATTTAATAATTATATTCGAGATTTTTATTTAAATTTGAGCGTCAACAATCTATAGTAAAATAAAAGCCTCGATGCATTAATTGGATTAAACTATTTTGCCAATTTGATTCTTGTTTTTCACAGACTACGTAAATTGATCATTTGCGGCATACGAATGCATCAATGCGGCATTATATTAATTTGATTCTTGTTTTTCACCTATCTATTCTTGCAATAAATCACGCAAATTAACATTGCGGTATATGATTGCCTCGACGTGGCATTGAATTAAAATATCTCGTATTCCGTATACTTCGAAGTTAAACATTCGCGACATATGAATGTATCGATGCCGCATTATATTAGTTTGAATCTTGTTTTTCATCGATCTAATACTAGTATAATTACGCAAATTGAACATTTGCGGCCATAATTGAATACATCGATGCGGCCATGATATTACATATATTTTGCTAATTTGATTTTGTTTCTTGCGATCTATTATGTGTAAATTACGCAAGTTGATCATTTGCGGCATATGAATTAAATTATTTTCGTATAGATTAACATTTGTGGCATTATGAATGCCTCGATGTGGCATTGAATTGATTATTCTCGTATACCGTAACTTTCGAAGTTAAACATTTGCGGCATATGAATGTATCGATGGACATCTATATTATTTTGATCTTGTTTTTTACCGATCTATACTAGTATAATTATGCAAACTGAACATTTGCGGCATATGAATACATCGATGTGGGCATTATATTAAGTTATTTTGCTAATTTAATTCTCGTTTTTATTCGCCGATCTATTCTTGTATAAATTACGCAAGTTGCACATTTTGCGGCATATGAATGTCTCGTTGCGGCATTAGATTAAATTATTGCTTTAGAACTAATTCATCTAATGCTAATATCGAGGCATTAATTTTACTGTTTATCGATTGTGTGTTATCAAAAATGTAATTTTTATTATCTCTGATCCATTTATTATCGTTAACACCGCCATCCTATCTACATTGAAATGAGAGAAACACGGCACGCCAAAGGTTTACGTCGAGGAACGGCCGATGCGTGCCTGCGTGCGTCGATTGAAATTCAGTGACGTCACACGCCGTCAATCGTTTTTTGCTCATTTCTCTCGAACGCACCGGTAAAATTTTTTTTACATCGGTAGATCTGATTATTTTTTCACGAGGAATTCAATGGTGATGGTTTTAGATTGCGCTTTTTGTTAGTTTACTGCGCAGCTTCAATTTATCGATATCGGGAGACAAAATCCGCCAGACGTCCATCGAAGGAGGGATATTCGATCACCGTTAAAATAGGTTTCTCTAAAACGAGAGATTGTCTCTCGATCTGTAAAGTGTGCCGTACTGTACTGTTGAACGTCGCCAAATGAATACAAATAGCCTAATAGATAGATTGGTGTCTGATACCAGGGACCACCAAAGCATAACAGTGTAAACAACTTCTATTCAGAGTAAATTAAGTTAAAAATAAGACCTAGCAGTTTTTTGAAAAACTTATAAGTAAATCGGTTTTCATATTCGAAAATCTCGTAATACTCTACGATGTAATTCTGTTTCTGATGGATGAAAATAAAAAGCATCCCCCAAAATAAGCCCTGTTGTATTTTCCGAAAGAAAAAAAAATTCAAATATGTATTTATGCACTCTCACTTAATTTATGTCCCACGCTTCCTAACAAATATGGATGACTATGAATTGTTTTCTTCAGGTCTAATTCTCAACCCTCCCCCCAAATCCTGGATTCTGTGCATGACGTGTCAACAACATTGTCCTCCACGATCTCACCACTGCCCTGTGTGTCAGAAATGTATTTTGAAACGAGATCATCATTGTTACTTCTTCATGACATGCGTTGGAATCCAGAATCTTAGATATTTTTTACCTTTCTCGTAAGTTTGAATATTTTATTAAATTCAATTTTTTTAAATTAAATTAATTTAAATTTTGTTTGTGTTTATATTAGTCTCAAATCGACGTTTGAGTTATTGAATTGTTTGGTACTTTTGCTACCTTTTTCTTAACGCTAAATGTTTGTTGGACCTGGTATGGTTCTACCTAAACAAGCATGTTGTGATATTAATAGACTGCAGATTAATTTATGTGAGAATTATTAGCCAGTTGAGCATAAAATATGAATTGATATTTTTTCGAATTTCACATGTCAATGCATAATACGCACCTTATTCATAAGACAATATTTGACTTATTTGCTTTGAAAATGCATTAGTATTATAGAAAGTAATATACACAGAGAATACGATATATTCTTCCCTATCCTCGGGATAAATTTTGAAAACCTCATAATACTTATATTTCAAAATAATCACTTGTTTTTACAGATTCTACGTGGGGATTGGATCACTTTACTGCGTCAAGCAAATGTTATCATATTTGAACTATTCTTACGTTACGATAGAGTTTTCTCTGAATGCAATTTTCTCGTACTTTTTTCCCGGGGTAATGTACAACTACCTATGGAGCGGCGAAGGCAATTTGAATTTCGACAAACTGTATTGTATTTTAGTCTTATATGGGTCAGTGGTTACAGGTATCGGGGGTTCATTTTACTTTTTATCCGAGCTTTTTATATCAATGAGGGGGCAAACGATTTACGAATTCGGGAAAGATATTAGAAAATACGATTTCGGCTTTTTGAGAAATATAAAACAAGTTTTATGGCCGTGGGGGATTTTGTACTTCCTAATGCCCTTGCCGGTGCCAACTAAAGAAATCAATGCACCCTGGGGTACTCCAAAGTTTGTTAAAGGTATATAAAAAAAGTGTCCATTGTAGGATGAGTAGGAGTAAAAAAATAAGTGTCGACAAATGCAATAGCTTCTACGCTGCATGGCTCGACAGTGTGGGCCATAGTGCTAAGCGTTAGAATTTTGCTTGTTGCTACACCACCGATTACCCTTCGCAGGTTCGCATTTTCGAATCCCTGCACTTCTTGCTGCTGTTGAGTAGTTCACGAAACAAACTCACATGGACTGGTAACAGGACAAAAGGCCGTGATTCGCCATATGATTAAACTGTCTTATCAGCTTTCCACTTCCCTGGGATAAATAAGTGAATTTTATTCTACCCTAATCCCATACCCAACATGGACTGGTAACTGGACGAGAGGTTGTGATTCGCCATATATCTCTCCAGGATAAATATGTAAATCTTATCCTATAAAACTTTATTTTCATCCTGGACAAGAAAACTACTCAGGATTTACACAAAGGCAGAGAAACTGTTAATTGCTGGCAACCGTCATTTTTCTTATTTACTTACCAGTGACAAATACTAACAACTGAGATTAAATTTTATACTTGAGGCAAAAATCTGGGTGCTCCTGAAGTATGCGTAACAAAGATGGCAGACACCGGAACGTCGTATGTGTACGTAGGGTTAGGCCATAATTTTAAGTACAGATACTATGGGAGAACTAAATAAGAAAAATTGGATTAAAATTATGGCTTAACCCTAACCTGGTACACATACTACAATCAGGGTGTCCGCCATCTTGGTACGCTTACTTCAAGAGCACCAAAATCCGAAGGTGAGCTGATTGGCGATTGCAGCAAATGGATCAAAATACTACCATCTTTTCCTGAGGTGGCTTTAAACCTAAACCTGTTGGAAGTTATAGATTTCTGTATGTTATCTGTTTAATATGACAGCATTTTAATATACAGGATGGTTGGTAGAAAAGCACAAAATTTGTCAAACAGTTATTTATATTCACAAAAAAATGTATTTTGAAGGCCTATGTTATAATACTACACAGAATATTACAGAAAGGGTATCGAACTAAAGAAAACCTAGAACCTAAAATGTATCGGAAAAGAAGTGATTGAGCACGCGTTTTATTCGTGATCTCATCTGACCTTAAAATTTTCTGCTTTTCCAGCAACTACCCTGTATATTCATATACAAAAATGTCATTGTGAAATGTGGACTCTGGTTTGTATAATATAAAATATGCAATAGTAACTGTACTATTTACATTTGCTTTAGATGCTATGATGATTTTAAGCAATTTTGTATGTTATTTATACTGCAGTAAATTTGAGTAATGAATATGAGCTTATGAGGTGTTATTTAATTTAACGGTGGGATGGCACACATTTTGAGAGGAAGATTTTGAGATATCAAGGGTGTCCATAAATTGAGTTATGAAGTCATTTTTTTGTGTATGAGTCCCATTTTTCAATCTATCTTAACCCAGGGTTTCCTGTGACGACAGTACCAGGGGCCTGCAACGATATGAAGCGAATCTAATCGATCTTTAATGATGGATTGCAATGCGTCTTTTTGGTTGAGCGTTGCGGACGGTATCAATTGCTGTCAGGCAAGAAAATCAAAATTTATCGTTTTGCAAAGACATACATGTAATAGGCAGCAATTTTAGCCCTTACCAGTATGATGCCATAATACAGGTCAAACCTTGAGGGTCTGTCAAAAATAAAATCCACAAACAGTGGTCCCCTGCCCAAAAAGATTTTGAACTCTGTCTCAACCAGTTTTGTTGTTTTTTAATCAGTACTTGTTCAAGTATTTTTACTCCATTTGATACATCTGTGAGGGGCTGAGGGCCAAAACAATATCTGGTATCGATAAATTCCCTTTTGCAATTTTTGTGCGTGAGCATGAGTGTGTTTGAATATTATTTTTCTACAAATGAGCGTACGAATGTTTGTCGATTATCAAAATTTTCTATTTTAATAAAAGTATACACATTTTAACCAGGTTTTATGAAAGCCTTTATAGACAATATTCACAGTAACTAGTTGGTTTTTCCAACAAATAACCTAGCATGACAGACAAAAGGTATAGTTTCGCATATAAACAAGCCATTTCCCATCTCGCCTATCAGGGCGAGATAAATTGGTAGAAAAAAACAAACCAGAAGGATCCTATGTCGTCAGAAAATATGAGCTCATCACATAACAGTATCTGCTTGTCTGGAGATTTGAACCGAATAATATTACGGCTCTGCGAAATCACTCATAAGTTTAGAAATAAATACCTGGGTATGAGGACAGTATATTTAATCTGCAATGGCAGAGTAATAAAAATCTGATACACCAGTGGTTCATAACTTTTTAGAGCTTTCTGGCCTCCATGGAGGCTTTTAGCACTGTTTATCCTTCCAATGATATTTAAGGTGTTATTTTTAAGTGAAGGATTCCAAATCCTGTTATGTTCAAACAATTCATGCTCAACAAAGTAAAAACATCCTTTGAAATAATCTTATTAAGTAATGAAACCAGGAAAAATAGGGAGTTTTCTTGTCAAGGAAATATAAAAATAGTTTTGCACCAAGCATTGTGGACCCCCTTGGGATGCACTAACCAGCAGGCACTCTAATTTAAGACTATAATATCGGCTAAGAATGTGCAAACTATTTATTTTCACAGTACCAAGGTAAATTATAAAGAATATATTCATACTGTATGATATCACAAAGCTATGAAATATAGGAAATAAATCTCTGGGCAGCTGTTCTCATAGCATTCTTTGTTTGCAGAATTTCGTTTGTCTGTTTGTGACCTTGAGAAAATGTTGTCAAGTCAATTGTTCCAAAATATCAAATAGGACCTGGTAAAAAAATTTGATTTTATGAAAATTTTACATTATAAATGAAAAACTAATAATAAAAGAAAGAATTATGTAAAATGGTGTCGTGATTATGAGTTGGGGTTACATAAGACTAACTTCTTAACCTTCTATGCTTTTACCCCGATGGATTCGAATGCATATAATGCAAGGATTCCGTAGCACAGGTGAAGATGACTATCCTAAAGTGATTGAAGAAATACAATTGTGGATACGGGCCACAAGAGACTTAATACTTTTAATGACACCATAAATTGTGAATAAGGAACAAACAAAATATTGCGGTGGATACACAGAAAAGATAGTGTTGGCTTGAGCCAGGGGTGTGGCTATCGCACCAAGCCAATTAGTATGAGCCTTATTCATAAAACGCAAATTTTTCCATTGCTTTGGTATTAAAGGTTGAGAGCAGTGTTCCCTCTAAAGTGTGCACGCGCACACAGCTTTCAGAGGCTGCGCACACGCATAGATTTACTGCACACAGACGTATTTCGATGTAATGTAACAATGTTCTCGGTTGGCAGGTTGAGAAAGTTTGTTGTTGGCCCACCCATTACCCGGTTAGAACGCCAAAATTTATTCATTGGTTTTTGCACAAATATTAGTCATTTCCAAAAAAGTGCGCACACACCAAAATTTCTGCGCACACATACTACAAAAAATTAGAGGGAACATTGGTTGCGAGAGAATCTGATATAACGTACAGTTATTCTTTGTACAAAGTATGCTCGCATTTGCAAACTCGCAACTTCACTCCTGTCACCCAAAGTAAATTGGGACACAGAAACCCTAAATACATAAGTTGTTCATACCTTTGCTTTGTCTCCAATTTTTCCTGTTCTTCTGCAAAGTTTCTTTATGATTACTTGCATATTTATCAATTCCAAATATATTTGTGGAAGACTCCTAAAATATATAATTTGATTATGTGTCAATAAATGATAAAGTGAATATGGTGTTTTCAAATATCACACAATTTTTTTTTGAAGTAATGTGTCCGAACTGTATTTGCACGACATTTTTTCCCTATTTAGTTTTTTTTTCAAATAATATATAAAGACTTCGCCAATTACCTAGGACTTGTCCCTACTTCGTCATTAATTTTTTGGAAAGCTAAGGGACAGATCTGGTCCTCCATGTCTATCTGTCATGTCTAGTTTTCACTTTTTTACAACCAGTGAAAAGACAAAAATTATGCAAGAAAATTAGGAGAAAATGATATTCATCTTACTGGGGAAGAGAAGCATCTGGGAACCAGAACTGGGCAGTGATACCCAAGTTTCTTAAATTTAATTCAACAGACTGGGAGTTTCAGTTTGTCAGTGAAATCCTGTATTTTCATAATGTATAATATTTGTGTCTGAATTATCTATGATTTCGTGCAAGACGAAATAAAGTTATTGTCTATTGCAGTAGTTCTCGGACGACGAGGCGCGCCCCACAAGGGTAGACAATTTTTTGTGAAGGGGGGGGGGGGCTAACTATAAATAAAAATAATTGTTAGATTTGATCGCTTCATTTTGGATATTAACATTTCTTAATTTTGGATATTCACATTCCATCCACATATTTTCAACGTATTTTTTAAAGAAAATAATACTTTTGGGTTACCATCTGTTATTTGTAGCTTATTGTTAGCTAGTTTTTTTTAATGTGGGGCAAGAGACTTGACAAAATCTAAAACAGGGGCATGGCATAAAAAGTTTGAAAACTACTTGCCCATTGTCAAAAAAACATGCCAATCTCAGAAACCATGACCCCTTGGGCCTTGATGGACATTAAATGACATTAAAGAAGTAGTTTGTTGCGGCCTCAGCCACTAAAATACTCACATGCTATGGTTTTTATCTCCTTCTCCTTTCTGTTTTAGTTCTCTCAATTCCATGTACCAGTTCTGAGACATTATCCTCATAAAGTCCAAGCTCGCAACCACATAACTGAAAAATATCATCATTTTGAAGGTGTATGCAGAACAATAAAAAGTAATTAAAATGTTAGATTAGGACAGTGTTTCTCACAAACTTCCATGGTTTCCCTTTAAAGACTTTTAACTCCCCATGGCCTACTTCTCCTAAATAAAAAAAATACATAGTTTTCTTGTTTTTGAAGTGTTTACATCTGTATTTTCATCATCCATGTTTAATAATAAAAAGCCAACAAATAAAAGTAAAAGAATAAATCGTTACAGCCAAATAATTGAACACATCACAGTCAACTGACTTCAAATTATTAAAGTCATCGCAAACAATATCTAGTGAAGGCTTTTGCTTACCGAACAATTAGTTGGGAGACAATACCTGGATAACACACAGTCTTTTGCCCGATTTTGGTGGTTTTTCACAGATTTTGGTAGTAAAAGTAAAAGAATTTAACGAATTACAGCCAATATGCTTTAAATTAATGTGATGATTGTAAATAGCACATGAGGATTTACATGTGGCCCCCGAAGAATCGATTAGTGGCCCCCTAAGTGAGTGAAAGGTCCAATGACAGAACTCTGGGTTAGGATTAGTTAGATGAGTTCGAATAATACCCAAACGAGAATATCGGTCAGAGACCGAAGACCTATCGATCGAAAGTTAGGGGATCCCCCAAAACAGCGCACTTACTCCATAGTGACACCTTGTGTCCCATCACTTTTTAATTAAAAACTCGCTAATTATACGACATAATTCATCCAAAATCAATAAGCTTCTGTCCGACATATGATAAATGTACATGCAAAATTTGTAGCAGATTCAACCACTCCTTCGTGAGATATCGCATGCATCTAACAGACATACAGACAGATACCTATCAACATACTTACCGATTAAAATCGTTAAGTAATTAAGCATTTGGCGAGAGCCTAACCTATGATAAAGAGTATCAGAAAATTGATAATCAGGCAATAACGTATAATACAAGAGATAAATCCTAAACCAATGCTTGGGAGAAATTTTGATCTGTATTCGCTGTAGTATTACTAATATTCTTCAGTTCTTTTTTATTACTTTAAAACAGGTACCGGTACGTATAATGAACACATCATAAACTACTCAATCTGTACAAAACCGGGAGTGTGACTTGTGCATAGCACTAGCTAACGTTTCATCAAAGATTGAATAGATAAAGCACTTCTTATGTGTAGTAAGAGGAATGAAGGGTCCCAAAATAGGAGGAGGAAGGAATTTAAAAAAAATGGTTAGAAACCACTGTTTTAATCGTTTATGACTGAACTTACTCTTCAAATTTAGTCTTCAATAATCTTTGTAGAACAGGTAATAATTCGACACAAATTCCGAGCGTCACTTTCTTTCCGATGGCATTGTTTTCACGAATACTGAACAACAAAGAATGAAAAGTTAATATTGATATGAGGAAGAATGTTTATTTAGGAAAAAAATAAGACAGTTACCTATATTAAAGTAACCGGTTAACCATTAATATCGTTGTTTCATATCAATATTTCACATAATCACATAGGTAATTATTGATATGCCTATATTTTTGCAACCAAATGAGCTTGTAGTAATACATACACACCTAAGCAAATAATATAGTTCAGCCAACACTTTGAATGCCTGTTCTACAAGCTGTGATGATTGTTATCGCTTGGGGCTTTGGTTTGATTTAGATAGATTTAGTTAATTTTATCCCGGGGGAGAGAAAAGCCGACAAGATAATTTAATCATATAACAAACCACGGTCTCTCATCCTGTTACCAGTCCAGGTGACCAGCGGTTACAGGAACTACCTTACGACGACGAGAAGTGCAGCAATCCTCTTGCACACACTCTCCCAATGCCAAAGTCTTAGATTACCTGCTTGCTAAATGAGGTATAACATCAACAAACAAACTGTCATCATTAGTCCTGAGTAGAAAAGTTACAAGTTGTTGGATGTCTTCATTCTTCCAGAATGATAACGCTGCGTTTAATTTGATTTTACGGGATTCAAGAATATCAATCATTTTCTGATGATTTTCTGTGATCTGAAAGATTTCAAATAGAAATAGTTGAGTTTAAACGAAGAACAGGAGTCACATATTTACCCCGGGGGAGAAGAAAGTCGATAAGACGACTTAATCATATGGAACCACGACTCTCGTCTGGTTACCAATCCATGTTGGATATGAAATTAGTTAGCCAGTTTCAGGTGCATGGACTTGATGGTGGAGGAAGCCATATTCGACCAGCGGTTACCTAAACCATCCTAGGGCGATGAGGAGTCCAGGTTTGCAGTGTAATTAAAGGTGCGGTGGGCGGGTGGCATATTCCTAACGCTTAGCATGATGTGCCACACCGCCGGGTTAAAATACTACTTTTTAGTTTCTTTTCTAAATTAAGAAGTATACAACCCACAGCTGCTGACCTGATTGTATAAAAACAGCAATCATGCTGTCATGGCATAAGGTGTTCATTTAATTACGGTATCATGCCAAAAAACATTCATTAACTGAAGTTATGGGACTGTGATAGCCTTTTGCGAATTTAAAAAGAATAAAAAGAGTGAAATATCCAATAAAAAACGAATGCAATAGTTTTTATTCACATAGTAGAACACCAATTTTGCATTATATTTCCAACAAAGAAAATAGAGATGAAAAGAAAAGAGGTACAATATCAAAACATTTGTTGTTAAAAGCTAGTAACAAGGAATTTTGGAGGTTGTGATCAAAGTATAAACTTGTTTTTATGGCATTTCTTCCTGCGAGTAAACAACGCAGTTGCAGAAACATGCAAAACCGCACGTTCAGCGTGTGACGTAACCATAACAACACGCCCCCAGGCAGTCGGAACGTCGACGCGAGTTTCCAAATAAATCTGTTTATTAACATTTAAGTTGACTAGCGAGTGTTAAAAATTGAATAAAACCAAAAATTATGCAAAACTCACCAGAAGACATGCACTGTCTGGCTTAGAATAGTCCATTTTTGTTTGATAATAACAGCGGAACTTCTCTAGTCAAAAGTGAAATCTTTCAGATTATGCTCCGCCTTTTGATAATTTCACCAATGACCAAGCGAGATTTGGGGTCAAATAACACGGGTCAAAGAAACGCAAAAAAATTGCTTCAACTTCTCGATTTTTACAGTGAATAAATCCTGTAGCTTGGATGTTTACTGTACTGCCTATCTATAGGTAAATAATTTTTATTTTAACCAGTGTTTAGTGAATAGAGTTTTGTCAGCAATCGAACAAAAAGTTCGAATTAGTCAAAATCCTGTCACGGGAACAGCAAACTTGTGAAAAGATTTTTCGCTCAATTAGCTATGTCTGCAAAAGGAATGATGAAATGAGGGTTTGCGAGAACGAACTTTTGCGCGAATGAACTTTCCTAAAAATGCCGGTGTACAGTTTGGGAGAAATGACTCTTATTGGGAAATTCTATTCTCTCAAATAGACTATAGAAATAGACTCCATGCTCTGTCAGTCTTACAAAATAGAGCTGTCAGAGTTATGAGTAACACCCCACTGCATCATAGCATGAGTCCTATTTATAAGGGAATGAATCTTTTAAAACTTAAAGATGTGTATATTCACGAGGTTGCAAAACTAATGTACCAATTCAGAAATAACATGTTACCACAGGCTTTCGATGCATACTTTACTGACTGTGGAGATGTCCATTCTTATTACACGCGCTCAGCATCTAAAGGTGCTTTTTTTATTTCCAGGACAAATCTCAAATTTGCTCAAAAATCTATAAAAATTGCGGGTCCCAAAATTTGGAATGATATACCTGATATTTTTAAAACATATTCATATAAAAAATTCAAATCTGAGTTTATGAAATATATCATTTCTAAATATTAATCCTGACACCAGTGGTATTACCAATTTGACAGATAAGAATTGGAGGTCAAAAGTTCATTTCTATCTCGTTTTCTGTCAATTGTATTGTGGGTTTCTTTTCACTAATGATTATTAACGGAGGCAAATTTATGAACTGACAACCCGTGACACCCACTGTGTAACCCATGCCACTGACTTACTAAGCATATCTACAAATCTCCTGATCTATAACTATGCAAGCTCAGACTAGTACATTTTACACTAAAAGTTCCCTGTTCTTTAGTTAATCTGTTCTGATCTATAACTATGCAAGCTCAGATTAGTGCATTTTTTTTTCAGTTCCCAGATCTGAAAATATACAGATCATACATAATAAATGTTGAGTGTAAATAGTTATGAAATTTTTCTATTGTGTGTTATCATAATTCTATAGCCAAATCATGATCTAAAATGCCAGCACTTAAAATTGTATATTTTCTTGGGATATAATGTCTGGTATGCATGGGTGGAGTCCATCATTGTGCTCAGTGGTGCTACACTGTGAAACTTTGTTATAAAATTGAGATGATTGCCCTCATAAGATCACAAAACGAAATTGAATTTGAGGTTGAACAATAACTGAAGAATCTCATGCAATTATCCATGATTCTAATTTATGTAAATTTGTCCAGTGGAAATCATCTAGACCTATTAAAAGTAAGTGTGGTTTTATGGTGGAATCTAAAATTGCTCTACTGACATTTAAAATATCACATTGTATGTATATTATATCATAAATCAATATCTGTTCAGTTCAGCAGATATCTGGATGAAATTTTGCTATTATATGTAACCTGTAATTAGGTTTTCTTTATGCCTTTTTGATGTGACTATGGTAGTTCTTCACATAAAATTGAATAGCAATTTACCCTTTATATGTTAATAGTACTTTATGAAAATAGGTACTGTATGTTGGCTCTTATTCTCCTGAATTTATTTTCAGTCCTGGCCTATAGAATTAAACAATTTATGCTGTAGGTTGAAGGCGTTTATTACCTTATGTTGATATAAATTGCTGAATCCTATTATCTGTGTTAAACCAAACTTGGATTAATATCTCAAATTATCATTATTGTATATGTCAATATGAATTGCTGCATTCTATTTTCTATCTTAAACCAAACTTGCATTTATATTATTAATCCAATCTATAGGAGTTATATCTCAAATCTTCTTTAATGTATATGTTGATATAAATTGCTGAATCCTATTTTCTCTGTGTTTAAACTTGCATTTATATTGTCTCAAATCAAGATTATTGTATATGTTGATATGATTTGCTGCATTCTATTTTCTATGTTAAACCAAACTTGCATTTATATTATTTAATCCGATTTAAAGGATTTATATCTCAAATCTTTATTATTGTATATGATGATATGAATTGCTGCGTTCTATTTTCTATGTTAAACCAAACTTGCATTTATATTATTAATCCAATCTAAAGGATTTAAATCCCAAATCATTATTATTGTATATGTTGATATGAATTGCTGCATCCAAGGTTCTGTGTTCAAACTTGCATCTATACGTCCTAAATCGTTATTATTGTATATACTGATGGAAAATGCTACATTGAGTCCATACCAAACTGGGACATTTGCCCCTATATGTGGGCAATATGGATTATAAAAATTGATAAGGGTCAGAACAATAATGAAAAATCTCTCACAATCATTCATATTCTGGAATATGATATTTGTATAGTAGAGATCATTTAGACTTTGTATTATTCCAAGTGTATATAATTAGAGATGTCACCTAACATTGTACTTCTGTCATTCAAATTGAAATTCATGATTACAAATTGTATGACTATTATATCATATTTTCTTATCTGATCGAACGGGCTCTAGGTATATTAATATATATATTATGTATAGTATATTGCAGCTTATACTCTTCTTTGAGCATACATGTCTTGAGTACTTCCTGTATATATTATACAACTCGTTCGGGCCTACTAGGTTCTAGGCATCAATGAATAATTTCCTCCTGGTCTTATAATCCATCATTATAGCAGTGGAGTACTACCAACTCAATAGTACATCCTGTTAAAATGTGAAAACTTTTCGTATCTCTAGACTTGTTAAATCATAGTGTCCATTATAAATCAACTATTTACTCAATCATAAAATAATTATTATATTTCAATTATTTAACATTGAAATAAATCCTCTAACACAATTGGCAAACTTAAATGCCAGTTGTGTTTAGGTCGAATTGCTCTACATTTGAGACCCTTTGACTTGATATACTAATCTAGTACTATTTCCCTAGAAATCATTCTCCTCCTTTTCATGTACAACTCGTCAATGATGCTTTTTCTATTCATATTTTGTGATAATGAAATTACGATACTGCATTATATTTTGCTGTTACATCAACTCATACTATTATAATTATTTACATTTTTATTTATCTTTCACTTGTCTTTTTATATACTACTTTGACATCCCTCTGCAGACAAAATATTGTTGATTATTATGCTGAAATAATGCTTGTTAGGTCCTATTAACTATTTTTTTCCCCTCCTAATCTAGACAAATCAAAGCAGATCATGTTTGTTACATCTTCAATGCGTACCTATGCCATGAAATGAAGCATTTCTGCTAATTCATCACATATTGTGTATAAATTCTTTCAGTAACCTTTGGAATCTCTTCAGATTTTGAAATCCCGCTCCACATAAATAAATAAAAATGATTTACTCTAGCATTCCCCTCCCCAATTTTATTCTTCCATTTTGAGAATATAATTTTAAATTCTAGAATGTTCCTCCCCAATATTTTAGTCATCTGAAACTGTGGATCTTAAACATAATAGCTTGAAGGGGGGGAGTTGACTTTGATGACCGTCTGGTCGTATCACTCCCTCCTGTCTATACCAAACAAATTTATTTCTTATTGTTATTTTTATTATTATTACGATGACTGTTATTTTTGGTTGACGAAAAAAATCTCTCTCTCTCTCTCAACAAGCCGTTGCAGTAATTGCTGCTCTATTTCAAGTAAATTTTTGGGTTGGAGAATTGCTACTCGTCAAGATTGCAGGATGCGGCATTTACTTTTTTCAGGACAGCAATAGATAAGTGCTGAAGCATGACTTACAAGTTTGTAAACTGGGTACCGGTACCGTAATCGTAATGTCAGAAAAAGTGACTAATTTCAGAAAATTAAAAGTAGACCCATCAACGGACAATTTTAAGTATTCTGATAATTAGTCAGCTGTAGTAAAACTATTTTCTATCATGTTTAGATTTTCTTTTAATTTTGAAGTTTTACTTTTATTTTAATGAAATGTTGAAAGCTGCTTTATCTCACGTTAACAGCAGAAGTTTACGCCTCCAGTTTAATGCAATAAGGGCGTTAAGGTAAGTCAATGGTTCAATGAAGTTCATAGGTTGCTTGAAATGTCAACTGCCATAGATTCAATGCTAGTTTGTGAAAAGTCTGAAAGTGTTTAATATATTCGCGTATCTTATGTTTGTATATTTCTTGCCCAAGCCTCGTTTAACCAGGTTTGTGTTTTCTGTAACTTTTCTTGCAGTCGTCTTGTGTGTGTGCTGGTGGGCGGACACATTAAATTTTTCATGTTTCAAATTTTTTAAAGGTTTTGCTCGCTCTCTTGTATTATCCATTGTTAATTTGTGTGTATTATAGAGTTTCCCAAACAAACTATCTGTTCTTATTAAGTTCAGTGTTTTTGACATTTTGATTTGATTTAAAATTTATTGCATGGGTTTGAATTTGAACTCTATACCTATAATATTATCAACATATCTTGGCCCAATGTGCTAATCATAAAACAATCACTTTGAAATTGAACAAAAATTTATTTTCCAGCTCTGCTCATTCAACTGGAAGTAATAAATATGATGTCACAATAGTTGGAGGAGGAATCGTTGGCCTGGCAACAGCAAGAGAACTATTACTGCAATACCCAAATCTCAAGTTTTGCGTCTTGGAAAAAGAACATCGATTAAGTAAGTGAGTTATATATGGGCAAAGATGACCAAATCAAATATTGAAATACTTTCAAACTGAATTAACATGATTGGAAACATTATTTTAAAATGTTTTTTTGATAAGAAATATTTCCCTCTTTACCCAAGTTTTATAGGAAGCATATTCCATTTATATATAACTAATTGAATATTGGAACAGCAGTTAGCCAGTTTTCAGATGCATGGACTTGATATAAACACATTATATTAAAATAAATGATTCAATTTTCCTTTTCATTCCTCTGTGCAGGTATCCATCAGACAGGCCATAACAGTGGAGTAATACATGCTGGTATATATTATACACCTGGGACATTAAAAGCAAAGTTATGCGTCGAAGGATTGAAACTTATGTATAAGTATTGCGATGAGCATGGTGTACCTTACAAGAAAGCTGGAAAGGTGAGAGGTCATTTCTGATAGCAATATAGGCAAAGCCAGGGTTTCCCAAACTTTTTGGGACGTGAAAATCGGCAATTCTCTATTGCATATCACCACTATGTGGCATCTGAACCTGTAGGCAAAATATCACGAGAATTCCTGTAAATTCTTGGGGTTACTTGTAAATAGGAAAAGTGAACTCAATTTTTCGCCTAGCGTTGTCGCCCCGTTGGAAACCGCTGCACTAATCCCACTATATTGACTTCTACGCATTCTTTTTCAGCTGATTGTAGCCACAGAGCAAGAAGAGATTCCCAGACTTGATAAATTATACAGTAGAGCTCAAGAGAACGGATGCAAAGTGGAAATTATTGATGGGAGTGAAATACAAAGCATTGAACCTCATTGCAGGGTAAGTAGTAAGAACAATGGGATAGATTTTATCTTGGAGAAGCTTCCACCACTGTCAAATTCCAAACATCCCTTTAAATTTGAGGGGACTAACACTTTATTTCTAACTGAAATATGTTTTTATTTGAATATTCAGAATAGTGTTGTATATACCAGTTCATATGGCCGCTTATAAGTTACGAAAATCTTTAGTGCTAATGCTAAAATCTCTACCAATCCATTATATTTGAAAATATCCCTTTTATAATGAAAAGCTGAAGGCCAAAACTGAGGGTGATAAAAACAACCATGTGGGAGAGGAAGATGATGAATTGACAGAAAAAATGTCTGCAAATTAGAGATTATACGTGGAGATAATCTAAAAATCATTGACCCTTATCATTATCCTAGGAAATCTTGAGTATGTCTTGTTTTTCAGGGTCTGAAGGCCATTCATTCCCCCGAAACAGGAATAGTGGATTTTGGACTCGTTGCAAGGACGTATGGCAAAGAGTTTGAACAGAAGGGAGGTGATATAAAACTAGCTTTCGAAGTACAGGATTTCAAGCAGAACTCTGGTAAGGTTTTAAAACAGGCTCGTTTCAACGCAGCGACAAAAGCAAAAAAAAAACATGCATTTTTTTCCATGTGAGCGATATTTTCATACATAAATTATCAGATTAGGATTGCATGCTTGATGGAAAAAATCTGAGTGTTGACAAGCTCTTCTCCCTAGGTACCCTAGATTAACAATGGCCACACAAAATGGATTGGGAGGTTGGGTAATGTTCTACGGGCTGCCTGATGCAGACCTCTGTGTTGAAATGTTTAAACAGGGAGAATTGAACTTGAGATCTTCAAGCTGTGGTGCCAATATAGTTAGGTCCTGTGCATCTAGGCCACCAATTAATAATATTTTTCTTTTTTAGATCCAAAGTATCCAGTTGTTCTGACGGGGAACCATGAATATGTAAGTTCATTTTGGAATTTGTTGGGAGTGACACTCACTGTGTTTAGGGCTGTTATTAGAGGTGGTCAGCTTATATACGAGGATATACGGTAAATAGCAAAAGCTAAGCAGGCTTCTACATTAAAGAATATCAAAAATCAGAAGTGATACCATTTTAATGATGTTATGAATTCTCCAATTTTTTAACATTTTTCTTACACAGTTGTGCTAATGCTATTAAACTAATAATTTTTGTTTATAAAATCTCCCAATTTTCAACATTTTTTCTATTCAGCAAGAAGTACAGTCTCGTTTTGTGATAGTATGTGGAGGTCTATACTCTGATCGACTTGCAGCGAAGTCAAATTGTGATCAAATACCGAAGATCGTACCGTTCAGAGGAGAATATTTAATCCTAAAGCCGGAAAAAACTTATTTAGCAAAAGGAAATATCTATCCTGTAAGTTTTTTAATGTTTTTTTTTATATTAGGTGGATAGACATTTGTCGCTATGTGCATAATTTTTTTCTGCATATTCCTCTCTTGCCCCATTTTTCTTCATCACAAAGCATAAAGACATTATTACATTATTTTTTAATATTTCGGCTGGGTTGGGCCCACTCTCAGTAACTGGCTTTATATAATCGCTGCCTGTCCAGAGCCTTCTTCAGAACAAAAATTGTTTAAAAATCTCTTCACACAGGTACCAAATCCAGCTCTACCTTTTCTCGGCTTCCATTTCACACCACGAATGAATGGAGACGTATGGCTCGGCCCCAATGCTCTTCTCGCTTTCAAAAGAGAGGGATACAAGTTCTTTGATTTCAATCTTAGAGATTCAATCGATGCTATAACGTTCAGGTAATTTTTTTTTCGGGTCCTTTATTAAAACTTTACATGGGAAAAATTTTCAGACCAATATTTATTTAATATGGGGGAAATCCCTGCACAAACACAGTATCTTATACTTCACACTTCACAGTGTCTTCAAAGAATATGATTTTCAAATTGCTTAGAAAATGGTAAACCAGAAAAATGTTGCTACTAGTTGCTTCTTTAGCAACGTTATTTCCATTCTGTGTATTGCAATTATTTATAACAGGACTTCCCGAACTTTTAATCTTGTGATCCCTTCCAATACATTAAAATTTTCTGTGACCCCTGTTAAGACAGCATTGTTATGCAAGCACGTCACTTCCCTGACCTTACGTATTATCTCAAAATCGTGATATTTTGGATTTTGCACTAGTTTTAATAATTGTGTTTCAAATCAAAGGTGTAAAAAAGTACAATAGATATTTGTGTGAAATTGGTGCATTCTTTGCGCTACATAAAATTTCCTGCGTACCCCTCTGTGGGGTTGTGAACCCCAGTTTGGGAACCCCTGATATAGACCATGGCGGGGTTTGTAATAAATTCCTATAATCTTTTATATTTTTGCAGCGGACTTAGAAAACTTGTTTTCAAAAACCTATCAGCAGGTTTTGGTGAAATCTATCGCTCTATGATGGTTGGGGCTCAAGTTAAACAGTTGCAGAGATTCATCCCTGAATTGTCAGTGAAAGATGTCATGAGGTAAGATTGGTTTGTTTTGTGCGCTGCTCATTCACACATTTTTCACTGAAAAAGGCCTTTCACAAGCTACTGATATCTGATCATATGTAAGGATTAACTTTTATTTAGAAAGGGAGCAGTCTGATCACTATATCTCGACTTTTCTGCATTTCTAATTTTAAACTCATCGAATATGCATGATCTTTGTTGAATATCAATAGATATTAACTCGGTACTCTTTCCACCTTTAATTGAGAACTTGATTTGCTTTGAACGAACTTGCAACTCTTCTAGTGGTATTTTTACCACCTATATTTTGGTAAATTTGTGAAAGAAATATATATTTATACATCATCTAAGCCTTAAATTTGGAAAATATTTTCATATCCAAGGTGGGTTGATTCTTTCAAACTTCAACACCTCTCTGTACTTATGATTGCTTGTTCATTGCTTTATTTGGAGCAAAATATTCATTTATATTTTCAGGGGGCCAGCCGGTGTGCGGGCGCAAGCTTTAGATACTGACGGTAACTTGGTGGACGATTTTATTTTCGATTCTGGACACGGTTCATTTGGTAAACGGATGCTTCACGTACGTAATGCTCCATCGCCTGCAGCAACATCCTCGCTTGCAATTGCTAGGATGATTGCCGACGAAGTTAAGACAAGATTCGAGTTGTGATGGTCAAATTTGGGCTGGTGTGGGTATATTTCAAGAATATAGATAATTTAGCGGCGGTTTAAGATGGGGCTTTGGTAATTTCATTTTGGTAAATTCATGCAAGGAAAGTACAATGTGTTGAAGTCCCAAAATTTTTCAAATTCCTGGGAGCATTTATAGATACAATATATAGTTTGTTGGCCCCCGTAAGTGTATTGAATGAGATGAAAAGAACTTTAATATATTCGATTAAAAAAAAACAAATCTGGTTAAGATATATTGAGAACTGACTTCATAATAAAATTGAATTAAATTGTAAAGGGAATTTATCAATACCATATTTAGTTTGTTGGCACATGGTGTATCAAATGTAGTAAATCCATCCGTTTGAAAGTTACTTCTTACCTTTTTTCTATTTAAACTTGACATAAAATGATCAAATCTTAAAATTCTTTGTGAGAGAGTGTGACTGACAATACTGAAAATCCTGTGTTATGATTCTTTATGTGCACTAAAACAAGCTCGCATTTCGCATAGTAAATCTGCATAATACCTATATTATAAAACCTTCTATCTCGCATTTTATTGTTAATTATTTATTCCCCATGTGTAGTGAGCTAGAAAAGTTCGAAAATACTAATATATTTTCAAGTTTTATAAAACTTCCGTTATAGATTTTTATCCAAGATTATTCAGTTTTGTGGCGTGTTTTTTAGATGAATTTTATAATCAGACAAATATTTATTGTGTTATGGTGTTGAAATTTATAGAATAGAATTTTTTTTTTTTATCGCAAGAGGGAAGAGAGCCTTTAAAAACGACTCTAAACTTCCGGTTAATTTCGACTATGGCTTTTCGATAACCACCATTAGAGCCTGAAATCATGAATTTTCTATCATTAAGGATGAGAAAGGATTATATGTCTATGTCCCGCGATGCTTCACTGAAATTTAGCGACAAAACGGCTGCTGCAAATATTAACCGTAACTAAAGAGTGGAACTATGAATTGTTTTGTTAAATAATTGATCGACTAATAACATCAGATGCCAAGTTATTGCGTTGTGATACTGTCTTTATATCCATTTACTAGAAAATAAAAGCAGTAACTTTCTGGTTCTTGTTGAAAAAACAAGTGACCCAAGAAGATTTCAGTAACCAAATTTCAGGCCGCGACCCCATAGGTTGGGAAATACTGCACTAGACTATCTTGTTCTCAGTTTGTGGCAAGATCTTTTTAACATTTATCTAGTTTAATCCTAATAATCATGATGAAATTAATTTTCTATTTTCAAAGATGCAATTTTCTAAAATAAACAATTATTCAACTGCACTTTTTATGCTGCTATGATTTTAACATTGAATAAAATTTTGATCCATAGGTCTGTGTCTGTCTTGTGAACACTCTTATAGCCACGACCAAGTATTATTAGGCTAGGGACTCCCAAAGTATGTGAGCCATAATTTCAGGTACAAATACTACGGGAGTCACCTGGCTATTCCCTAAACTCAAAATAGAACTGAAATTGGAATGAAATTAAGGCCTAACTCGAACCTGGTACACATACTGCGTTCCGGTGTCCGCCATCATGGTTCACATACTTCGGGAGTACCTTGGGGAGATTTATAGAGAGTTCCATTGTCAAAATTGTGGTAATTGCATATTTTGGTATTCTTAACTTATTTTGTCTGTTTTCTGGCAACCACAGTAAGTGCTTTAGTGTATCAGACCTAGTATTTGTGGAACTCAGCTGTTGTTTGGAAAGTAAAAACCATAGTTAGGTTAATATAGAATTGACTATTGTAATAAAAATAAATGACTTCAGTAGTTGGGTGATGCGACTTGAGCATTCGATTGACTCGACTAGTCATGGTAACAAACAATGTTCCCTCTAATTTTTTGTAGTATGTGTGCGCAGAAATTTTGTTGTGTGCGCATTTTTTTGGAAATGACTAATATTTGTGCAAAAACCAATGAAGAAATTTTGGCGTTCTAACCGGGTAATAAGTGGGCCACCTTTTTCAACCTGCCAATCGAGAACATTGCTACATTACATCAAAATATGTCTGTGCGCAGTAAATCTATGCGTGTGCGTTCTGCCTAAGTCTGTTCTGCCTAAGTTAATTAACATTGTCGAAAGTCTGAAACTGGTTTACAAATCTGATGTTGCCAGTCTGCCAGAGGGTTTGCAGATACACAAAATACAGGGAACTTGGTGGTAATGAAGTTTTATCGAACTCTATAATTTTAAAATTGACATAAAACTTGGCTCTCCAAGGCTAAAGCGAATGTCACAGAGCAAGTCTATGGTAAGTAAAAGTTTGGATGAACGTACAATATAGAAATAATATAGTATTTTTCAATGAACCCAGTGGTTCATTAGCCTGTTTTACACTGGGGCTGGCAGAAAAACAACAGAGCCCAACAGATTTTGGCAAACGGACAGTCAAAAGAATGAAGTCTCCCAGCCAACTGAACAAGACTACTAAAAACTTTCCCTCAAAGGTACATCCCAGGTTCACGTCCTACAATTTCTCACTTTTAACCCAAAATTCAGAGTCATTCAAGCAAGATATGAAGAGTTATATTTATTAAGCAAATATAATACTGCAGTGGGAATGGGCTCGAAAATAACAACATACTGCAAATTAGCAAAATACAAATATTTTGGCAACAAAAGTAGGGCAATAGCACCTATGTGTTATAAAAATACTGAATTTGGCTTTGAACTACAGTTTGAAAAATAAATGTTAGTATAGGGTGTCTATAAAGTCATAAAATATTTTAAAATTGCAAAGGGAATTTATCGATAACATATATTGTTTTGGCCCTCACAGATGTTTTAAATGGAGTAAAAATACTCGAACAATTAATGATTGAAAATATCAAACCTGGTTGAGATATATTGAGAACTGACTTCATCACAAAATTGAAATTGTAAAGGGACTTTATGGACGCCCTGTATTTTAGAAGAAGAACATGGAGAACTCAAAACAGGGATGGTCAAAATTGTGACAACTTGGGGGGTGGTTGAATATTTTATCAAAATTTATCATTAAAACGAAAATTATGCAAATAAAAGTTGGTGTTATAGTGGGAATAAACATCGCACACGCAAGCAAGGATGGTCTAAATTGAAAAATTCACATTCCGAATACATCAGATATAATCCGAATTGGTCAAGTCAATCTCTATGTAATGAGTTGAATTCGAAAGGTAAACGAAAGTAGGGCAATAGAACCTATGTGTTATAAAAATACCACATTTGATCTTGAACTAAGATTAAGGCTAATAAATGTTGGTATTATAACGGGATACAGGGAGAACTCAAATAGGGATTGATATATATTCCCAATAGTTTGAACAGATGGAGAACTCAAATATAAAATAATTTCCCTTGGCCAGGAGTGAAACAAAAATGGAAACCTTGCACATCACAAGTTAAAACTTTTGAACTAATGTCTCTGAACCAATCTTTTTTGTAGTTGTTATTTCCGACTATTACAAAGTTTATATCAATCCTAAGAAAATGCAATTTCGTTGCGATTACTACTGTTCAAATCAGTTGTTCACACAAAAGGCGCTCCTCCAAATTTAGTCAGTATTGATGAAAAATATAAAGTCAGGGCAGATGCCCTGCAATATATTTACTGGCACCCCGAGAACCAGTAATAATCAGTAGTCAAATTGAGTCAGAGTCCGAAGTCAAGTTTATTAATCAATAGTGGTCATGATAAGTCCGGGTCATTTCATTTAGAAAACCAGAGTCGTCTACAGTCTTTGATAAAAGAGTATCCTTAACTCAAGCCTCCTTTAACACAAGTAGAATATATGTTTACTTGATAATATTTGCAGCAAAATAACATAATATCTTGCCATAAAGGATAGGAGAAGATTTCTACCCGGGGAAAGGAAAGCCGGCGGCTTAATCATATGGGGAACCCTGCCTGTCATCTGGTTACCAGTCCATGTCTGGTATGGGATTAGTTGGCCAGTTATTTGTTATGGGATGCATGGACTTCAAAAAAAGTCAAAGCAGCAATGATAAGAAATATTCATACAAGAACCAATAATCCTGTTATGAATATGACTTTCGAAGCTTGTAAAACCACTTGGTACATTAACTTGGCAATATTAATCGAATCCAAAAAAACACTACCTAAATTTCGCCAAAGTATCAACCATATGTATCATTCATACAAAAACCATTAATTCTGCTATTAATATCAAAGCTTACGCAAACCATTTTGTAAGTATAACCATCTTGACCCACAACATATCATAAAATTCTTGCAAGCACTATGCAAGTCGACATAAAAGCCATCATTGGCCATGGATCTGTCAACCAATATCGCCTCTCAACTTATTTCCGAGTTGCAGAGTCACTTGTTTCGTTATTTCTTTCATCATTTCGTCTCCAAACTCCTCATCTGTTTGAATTTCTGATTCTTCCACCTCTCCCTGGTCATCCACATCCACGGCTTTTTGCATCATTTCGACGAGTTTTTCATTCGTCATTCGCTCGAAATTATACTTCACAGCTTCTGGTCGTGGCAGGAAATGAATATCCAATTTGAGTCCGTGTTCTTCTGCGTTATCTCTGTAAAACCTGACATTATTTTGTGTTATTTCATCTTCTGGGTGGAGCAAAAGAGCTGACACAGCAGCAGGGACAGCCATTCCCCACTTTCCTAACTGGTAATACGAAAACTGCAAGTATTGATAAACTTTTTGGACTAAATTATCCATCAAATCACCTCTCACCAATGGACGTAGCTTTTTACCACAATTTTCAACACATTCAATAACAGGGATGTACTTCAGGACAACAGATTGTGGAAATCGGTAAAAAAATGTCGGCAGTTCTGAATTGTAGCAAAGAGTTTCACATTCGTCATGTACTTTCAAATAATCGAGCAATGCTTTTTCAAAACTATCAATGGCCTCTTCGTATTGTTTATTCTCGTAAAAGTCAACGGCATCTACGATATGTTCATTATACGGATTTCCTTCAAGATCTTTAAAATAGTCATCTGAAACTCCGTCGAGGCCCTTATAGTAAGCAATGTTATCCCTCATTTGTTTGTCGTCCGAATTCACTTGGTAATTTGTGTGAGCAGCTTGGCAAGCCTTTCTAATCATCCCAGTTTTATAATACGCAAATTGAAGATAGTTGTAAGGTTCTCGCGTATCGAAGTCTGCTACGAAGTCATCACTTGGGCGTTGAATTTTTGATTTTGTGAACGGATGCTCCTCTTTGCATAACTTAATACAATTCGCTTGTGCAAGTATATTTCCGTATGCAATTAATTCGTCAAAACCATCCATGTTTATTCCAATTTCCTTACTGATGTTCAGGTTTTTGCAGCGCAGACCGCAAGTTGTGTCTATATGTTTCAGCATCCTCCAATGTACAAGTCCGGCTTCAAATCCTTTGATACAATCCTCATAATTTTCATCTTTATAATCGTCTACAGCTCTGGCAATGACATTTTGAATTGATATCCCAGGGGTTGTTTGCGAACTAGTTCTTTGGATGATGAAGCACACGAGTAACAAAGAAAATATAACAAATAACTGCATGATACTGTGATAGGTGATTGGGAAATTGGTTGCAGATTAAATCGAAAACTGAAAAAAAAATTTAGAAATTGACAGATTGATTTCTCATATCTCAGTATTTACCATTACCGGTACCATCTAGGAAAGACAAAGCAATATGACTAACAGTAGTGATGGGATTCAAATTTAAAAAAAAGGTTTTCTTCGCATAGAAATTTTTGAATTTTAATGATATTTTTAAACATATTAGACCCTCTATACGGACAGTAATACATATATATTCATGAATGTGAACTTCGTACCCAGGCGCGCAGCCAGGATTTTCAAAAGGGGGGGTTTCATAATCATAAATTCCCATTGCGGTCTGTAACAGTCTTCGCATTACGCGCTCGTTAAAGGGACGACTTTTCAGCGTATAATGATTATTCTTGTCGCGTGAAATATTCAATCTCTGACAACTACAAAATTCTAAAATGTCTTTATATATTAGTTTAATTGTGTCTAACACAGGGATGGCCAATACCGAATAGTTCACTATTTCGAATACATTCGAAATTATTTTTTTCGAATATGAAATTTCGAATACTTCGAAAATACAATTCACTAATTGAAGCTTATCTAAATGTATGTAGGAACTTCCATACAATAAGCAATGAAATAACCGCTATCTACAAGTTACAACCTAGTTATATTACCAGGCATTTCATATATATTTGCAGATTATTGCAGTATATATTTTTTTCATATATCTTGAGTGATGTTAACAGAATTAAATTAATACGGCAATAGTAGTATCGGTGATGGATTTGAATATTTGCGCAACACAAAATCATCCTGGTAAAACGCCCATACTTTTAAATACCAACCATTATCCAAATTATTTGCCAAAAAGCGGGATAAAGTATTAGTTAGTTTTCCGACTTGTGACAATTTTTTCGTGAGTACAAAAATTAATTATATTCGGAAACTTCACCACACATTTTAAGTCCGCAGATCGCCGTTGTATGTCTGAGTAATAATACTTTTATTATTTTATAAATATGAAAATAGGAATCAAAAACTATTTATAATCGGGTAGTTTACCACACATTCTAACTCCACAGATCGCCGTTGTATTTTGTAAATACGAAAATAGGAATCAAAATTACTATTAATCGCGAGTTTGCCACACAATTTATGTCCACAGATTGCCGTGATATTGTTCCGAATATAATAAGTTTTTGATTCTTATTTTCGTACTCACGAAAAATTGTCACAAGTCGGAAAAAGAATTTATACTTTATCCCGCTTTTTGGGAACTAATTTGGATAATGGTTGCCATTGGTTTGTATTTAAAAGTATGGACTTTTTACTAGGATGATTTTGTGCTGCGTAAAATATTCGAATCCATGACTGATACCACTATTTAAAATGCCTTACCATGTTAATTTAATTCTATTATCATAACTCAAATGTTGGTAAATCGGGCAGTTTACCACACATTTTAAGGCCACAGATCGCCGTTGCATTTTAGAATTATAATAGTTTTATTATTTTGTAAATATGAATCCGAAATTAAATGTAATTGGGCAGTTTACCACGTATTTCATGTCCACAAATACCCGTGGTATTTGGTATTAATACTTTCATTATTTTATCAATATGAAAATAGGAATCAATATTCAATAATATCGGTCAGTTTACCACACATTTTATGTCCACAGATTGTCCATACAACCATGAGTTACGTTGAACGGAATTAAATTAATACGACATGACATTTTAAATGCTGGTACCAGTCATGGATTGGATTATTTTGCGCAACAAAAAATCATCCTGGTAAAGGATCGATACTTTTACCTATCGTTATCAAAATTATTTGCCAGAAATTATTTTCTAATAAATCGGCTTGTAATTTATTGGATATCGTAACAATGACGGCTATAAATACCGTATTTCCCGGCTAATAAGTCCACATGGCAAATAGGACGATGTCTATTTTTAGCACTCAAAAAAGGGGTTTTTCCATATAGGCCTCCAATAAGACTGGTAGAAAAATTGTGTCCCTGTGATATGCGCTAATAATTTTATATGTTTAGAACCAGATCATGTTAGTTTGGTAGAATCATACTCACAGAATTAACTATTTTTAACACTTGAGCGGTAAATTTAAGTTGTAAAGCGGCAATCATTTTGGACAACCCATTAACCCGAATGTTGAAATAATTTTAGAATGTGATAAGTACTACACTGTACGTCCACGGGTTATTTCACAGCTGTGTTTTCCTGTCCCTGTCGTGTTCTGCTGAATCGGCAAAACGAAAGGGTCACAAATCACTTTCACTCGGTGGCCATGTTTCTCTTTAAAGTAACGATAACCGGCCTGCGATTAAATATCATGATTGGAAGACCCTAAGACCCAAATATAAGGTTACACAAATCATGCTTGAGAAGACTAATAAGCAGGCCACATAGAAATAAAATAAACATACTTTCTCAATTAGAAACCCCCCCCCCCAAATCAGGCAGAAATATTGGGCATAGAAAAGCGGTATTTGTCAATTTTTCGACGTAATGGAAATGAATTTGTAAATTAAAAGCCTCGTAGACGAATGTCGGCAATGTCCACCCACGCAAACGTGCAAATGTGTCGCAACACTATGCGACGTACGGTCGCACAGAATATAAACAATCAAAGTGCCGATTCTAATTCATCGTCATTACAATACGTGAGACAGCGTAAAGAGTCGTTTGAAGATTCCCGTAAAACGAAACACCATGTTTACGGCGAAAAGTGGCTACTATTCGTAATTATTCGAAAATCAGCCGAAAAGGTATTCGAATACTATGATATTCGAATATATTCGAATATTCGATTCGTTTTGGACAACCCTGGTCTAACATAACTCGCGGTTGCTTCTTCTTACGTCAAAATTAGAACATTAGTTCTCTGAAATGCCATGGCGATCGGTGGACATAAAAATATGAGATAAACGATGTATTTGATTTTAATACGTATTTTTGGAATCTTGCCAACTCTTTATCGCCGTTAGAAAAATCTCAATAACTGATATAAAATCCCGAAAAGTACAATTTTATTTCGTACAATGAAAATGCATATGCAGTATATCGTTAAATCAAAAATACATATTCATCGCCGCGATTACGTCACTTGTTAGAAGAGCCGACGTTTACAACGAAAAATAATTTTTTTGTTGTGCAAAGTAATCAATTCGCTACCGATAAGGGCATATTTAAAATGTCTTGCTTTATTAATTTAATTGTCTTCAATTTAATCAGCGTTTGCGTCGACAAAACAAAACAATTTTTTACAATTCACAATTTTAAAATACCTCGGCCATTTGCCGACATAAAAATAGAAATTTGTGGTAACTGCCCGTCGCCTATCATATATTGTTTTGATCTGTATTTTTTCTATTTTGCAAATTCGACAAATTTGAGATGTGCTTGTAACATTGACTCCGTTCAATCGCAATGCTGACACTCCGATTATTTTTAAAGATAAAACCTCCTGAAAAATCCGTAAATCTGCTGTAAATTCTCATGGAGTAAAATTTATTTCAGTACAATAAAAGTGATGGATATACTTCGGATTAATTATCTTATATATCATCACAAACCGGGAAAAAAATCGCGTTTTCAACCTTGTTTAATGATAACACGAAAATTTTCTACGACAATTTTAAAGTAATGGATAAAAGGCAAATCCCACCCACAATTAACCGTGTTTCGATTTTAGTGACGGTATGTTCCAAAATGGCGACCAAACATAATGTGCGCCGTAGGCACACGAAATTTTGCAATTTTGCGACAAGAAAAGCGCTTTTAGACTGTCGCGGGGACTCAACAAAACTTATATTGTTTATGGTTTTGTTTTCAGTATTTTATATTGCCGCTTTTCAATCAAATTTAGATCGCGGTTTTACACCTTCTTTTGTCTTTAGAACCTAGCCACCGATGAACGTATAATAACTCACGAATTCACAATTCCGTGCAAAGTACAAAAATAAAATAATTATCATGTTTATCTTGGCACAAATTTATGATTTAGAAAGAATTAAAACCGACGTAAGGGCGTTTACGGCCTAAATAACACGCTGATGAAAACAAACGGTGATTTTAGCAGAAGGCAATCGCACGTGTTATCGGCAACTTTTTCACTTTTCAGAAAATTCAAAAGGGGGGGGTTTCGACCCCGAAAACCCCCCTGGCTGCGCCACTGTTCGTACCCCACGGCCGCCTGAGACTCAACCCGCCGATCGGTACCGAACTATCGCTCTGCGAGGATATCTTTTTTTTTTTTTAAGTTCCACGTTGTGGATTCATAACAGTTTTGTAAAAATAAATAAATGATGAAAAAATAATAAACATAGTTACACATAATAAACAATTATATACGTAAACAACATCCAGTATTAGCAAGCAATTCATATTATTCCATTGTTGATTCCAGATAAAGTTTCTCATGTTTATCAGTAAATATACATTAATTTACATGTTTTTAAATTATAGCAGAAAAATAAAAATTTATACAATTAGTCATAGATTCTTGCAAATTATGTCTAGTTCTTTTATAAAACTAGGTTCATGTCTAAATTGTTCTATATTTCTCCTTGCTGAAAGGGATTATCTAATTCTTGTTACGGTATGACATTATTTACACTTGGATTAACATTTTCAAAAAATAACTGCATTACGTTCCAACCATATTTTATATCTTGCAGTACCCAGAAGAAGTTATGACTGCATTACGTTCAACTAATGATAAATGTGAAAGACACTGATTATTTAGTTCTAGTAAAATACATGTTTTATAAATATTTTTCAACTTGCAATTGTTTATTTTTAATACAACAGAAAAAACATAATCATACACATTTTGTGTAAAAACACAGTTCTGTGGCGAACCACTTAACTAATAATAGCCGTTATGAGTCACAATTGTTTTGTTTATGTTTTTGTCACGCATGATTACTTACGTGCTTTTCTTACGATAACTTGTCATTCTGTTTTCTGTTCGCTTGTCGTTAACATTGCTTTGTTATGGATTAAACATCAACATAATTGAAAGTCTTTTTCTTGTTAGAAAGAAGTTAGTTCGCTTCAAATGGTGACCCCGACCTCAAAAGCATACTTTTGAGAAAAGAATACGCACATAACGAAGAATATGAG